AAGTCATTTCTTCGTTCTCCCTGCATGCAACTTGTCATCTTTCTTGTTATAATATTTTGTGTTCTTTGAAAAAATAAAAATAAACACTTGAGCACAGCCGTGTGTGGTCGGTATGCCATATTAATGGGTTTAAGCGGTTCTCTAGATACGGCATGAACGAGACTCTTCACATTTTCCGCGGAACGATTGGCGATAACCTTCTGGACAACGATAGGATCATACTCAGTCTCGACGCTCCTCTAAAAAGCAGGTGGGATTACTAAAGACTAGTATGCCATGCCTCTAAATTGCACAAGCCGCGAGGAGTGCATTTCAAGAGACGCAAAGTGAAGAGCCAGTCTGTGGATCACATCTGGAGTGCTGATCTAGTTGACGAATGGTTGTGGAACTTGACTCCTTCTTTCGGTGCAACATGTATCATGTGTGGAAACGAATCTGGTCATTTGTGGCTGTTGGCAGAACGGCTACTTATGACATCGCATTCTGTATTTTTATCTCTATATTTAGACCTGGGTGGAAAATCAAGGGATAATTTCTAAGGAGAAAAAGGACAAAAGAGCTACTTTGAAGTACAAATTGAAATTACGCTTTAACTATTATCCACTTACACCACCATTTGCCAGTTATGATTGCCAGTTAGTTGTAGAACGTCAGTACCGTTGGTCAGTGTTGTGCAATGTTATCGCATGAGCTGATTGTAAAGTAATTATTGTTGTGCTAGCGTATAATGGAGCGTAACTTGTAGCTCGTTGGCCATCTTTCTTCTTATCTCCATATTCATTTATTGCTTGTTTATTGCATGTCTTCATTCATAATTTTATCAATAATGTTCGTCACCATTTTCTGGTAGCCAGACCATTAACTTGGTGAGAAGGCATCGGTACCTGTTCATGTGATGAACTAAAGTAAAATCCCACAGTCATAGTAGTAATCTTGTCTTGCTATCAGCGGACATCCCATTCAGCGGAAATCCCATTCAGTGCCCTGAATTAATGACTTTTAGTCTAAATTATCCATGTCTGGTACTTTCCCTCAAATTGTACTCACTATTTATTCGGGATTCAGGTGAGTAGTCCATGGTGCAGTTTCCATTTCCGCAGTCTTCTACTGTGCTTTGGCAGTCTTGAGCTATGTAACAGTAGGATTGATTCAGGCTCAATTCGTCCTCACAAGTGCAAATGTAAGTAGAACCTGCTTTTTGGCATTGTGTATATCCAAAACAAATTGGAAATTCTCCATTTGCTAGGCATGTGTATCCAGGTGATGAACAATTTGGCGTAATAACTGGTACAGATTCATTACAACGGCAGTAGTAGTCAACGCGTCCGTTATTGTTGAACTTCTGAAAATGTCCAGGTGCACAGGACATTGACACTGTATAGCATAAGACATGAATATACGAGATTAAATTTGACACTACACTAACAAGATGTAACTGCCTGATACTTAGAAATATAACACCCTTCAGGCTCATGAACATTTTGAAAGTTTTCACTAGTACGAAATACAGTTTCATGCCTGATCATCAAACCATGGACAATGGATTAAAATTAACAGAAATGTTGTATTGCCCTTCCTACTTGCACTGGTTCTTCTTCTTCTTATTATTATTATTATTAATTCAACATCTCCTGGCTCGTCAGAAGACTGCCAATATATATGAGAAGTCGGGTGGTAGCCAACCACGGCGAACTGAATAATAAGGAGAGAAACAAAGAGAGTACTGCAAGGGGAGGCATGACGAAAATGGTGAGATTATTTAGGACGAAGAAGCTGAAGCTTGAACTCCTTAATGTCTGTGCATGCTTTAAGGCTAGTTGGCAGGGAAGACCAGAGAGTGTACGCAGAGAAGATAGGAGATTTCAGAAACAGGGAGGTATTGGCACAGGGTTATGAGAAGGAATGACGTGTTGATCTGGTGGACACAAACCAGTTATACTTAGCAAAGTGTTTTGGAGCCAGGTCTAATAAGATCATGTGTACAAGGATGCAAAGATGTTGCTGGTGTCGCTCTAAGAGGGGAGATACTGAAGCTAAACTGTAGAGACGTTGGGAGGAGAATGTTTGATTTTTGCGAAACAGGATTTTTAGAAGCAGACGCTGGTGTATTTCCAGAGTTTGAACAAGGGCCTGAGACAGACCGCACCACGCTGTGTCACAGTAATCAAATATAGGTAGAATATACGACGTCAAGAACAATTTTCGGCAATGGTCATTTAAATGGTGGCAGTGAGGTTGCAACATGCCAAGGGAGGAGCTAGCTTGCTTGCATACTGACTGGACCTGTGGGGACCAGGACGTATGGCTGTCGAATATAACACCAAGGTGTTTGTGTTCATGAACAATTTTAACGTTAGCATTGGCTCCTAGAAAGTGCAACGGCTGAGTAGGCGGCGATGGGCTGATGAACATTGCTTCGGTCTTTGCGATGTTGGGCCTTAGCTTCCAAGCTTCCATCCATGCTTTGGTGGAGTTAATGCCGGTCTTTTTTTTTTCTTTTTTTTTACTGAATACCACAGTACCATCAGATGCTGCACAGCGGGAGCGGTGGCATATTGGATCTGCATGGAGGTAACGAGGTTGGACGGCGAGCTGTCAGAGCACAACAGTGCAGTGTCATCAGCAAAAAGGCTGACGTCTGGAACTAGAGAGGGCAGATCGTTTACATAAGTTAGGAAAAGGAGTGGACCCAGTATGGACCCCTGTGGAACACCAGACACTACAGGTAAAGGATCGGACAAGGAAGCAGAGACACGGACAGTTTGATGACGGGACGACAAATATGACGACAGCCACTGCAGAGCTGTACCACGTACTAGAAAAATGTACTCAAGCTTTGCAAGTAGGCCTCGATGCCAGACTGTATCGAACGCTTTTGACAGATCAAAAAAGACAAGACCTACATGCTTCTTCAGGTTACGATGTCCGTAAATATCCTGGATTAAGCGTGTCAATTGCAAAGTAGTTGAGTCGCCACGACAGA